TCTGCAAGAAACACAAGCCGACAGGATGTCAACAACGGCGAAGTATGCTAGCTTTCGCGTCGCGCAAGATTTCTTCAAAAATCGCCCCAAGCCATTGAAAACTGAATCACGTGACGCGGGATGAGGACATATCTCTGAAACTGTGGGAAAGATAAAAGAGAGATCATCGTAGATCCAACTGCTTCGAACGTCAGAACGCTTGGCGCAGGCGCAATACCCTGTTTTCCGCAAGAAACGCAAGTCCAAGACCTCACAATCGCCCAGACAGTAGTGGGAATATCTCGAACGGGTAGTCTTTCTGTGTGTGTGTTTATTTTTCCTATTATCTGGTAGTTGTGGATCGGGCCGTCGGGCCGTCGGGCCTCGCGCATGAACANTAGTGGGTCGGGCCGTCGGGCCTCGAGCATGAACAAATGCGGCGAAACTAACCCTGAGCTCGTGTACAACAGTCCTGCGGTCTGTGATTGGCCAAGCTGTAGTTGATGTCATCTGGAGACGGCTGGTCGATTTTCTCTCCGAAATGACAGCCCACGCCCCCGCCACCTTCGCCCACTCCATTTCTTGCCCACCACATCCTACACCCTTCTCTTCTCACACCACCACCTCACGCCAAGATGAAGTCCTGCATTGTAGCCGCTGCCTGCGTGGCCGGAGCCCAAGCCTTCGTGGCACCCAGGTGAGAGCAGCAGTTGGAGGCTTGCTTGATCGCATGCGCTCGGTTGCTGTGATTCTTGTCATGGGTACACGACAACGTGATCATGCGCCCGTTTGTTGTTCGCGTTGGTGCTACTATACTATCGCATGTGCTCCTCGTCTATCCCACACTCTAGCCGCTCTCCCGCTGTTGTGGAGAGCTCGCTGCAGGTTTCAGAGTTCGATGTCCAGAGAAGTTCGTAGCCTCCACATTCAAGTTCGTCCCAACTGAAAGAACTTCCTGTACCCTTCCTTTTCTCCCACGCGCTTACTTCTAGCAGCGGCTCGGTGGCAGCAGATCGGTGCGTAGGGTATGAGAACAAAGGGTTGTATCAACTAGACTAACTTGATAGAGAACCCATTTGCATGTGCGTACGTGCGCACTCGTAAATACCTCGCTCCTTGCACGCACGACGCTGTCTCGACACAACGACCCGCGATTTATTGCTTTGAGATGAAGAAGGTTGTGTACAACACGCGTTTGAAAAAGCACAAGTCTCCGTCGATTCCACTCAACAGACTCAAGTCCCCCAACGTATCTCACGCGTCAGCTGTGGTTGAACCCCAGCTTTGGCGGGGATTTCGCGGCCAGGAGCACCTCGCTTTTGTGTTGTGTTTCGCGGACGCCCCTAGGCGATAGACTACACTTTTTTTCACTTTTTATTACAATCGGCATCTATGGCGGACCCTCCAACGAGTATTCTCCGCCTTTCCTCTTGCGATGCGTGCCTTCGCTCGACGAACATTCGAACCCACTGCTAGCTGCGTAGGGGCATCCATGCAGGAATTTAGAGCCAGCAAAAATATTCACTTGTCAAGCAGTACATTCGGGCACATGATTGGACGTCAGCTGCTGAGCAAATAATGTTCCGCGTTGTTGAGAGGGAGTCGTGGAAATGATCCGCCAGTGCCTGCTCTCAGCTTTTCAATCCGCTTGAAAGTGGTTTCCAGCATGTAATCCCTGTTCCTGTTTCCCCCTCCTCCCTCTCCTTCCCTTTTCCCCGTTTCCCCCCACGTTCGCCCACCCCCACCGACTAAACACCCCAGCGCGTTCAACGGCGCCGCCGTCGCCACCCCGGCCAAGTCGTCCTCCGCCATGAAGATGTCGTTCGAGTCGGAGATCGGCGCGCAGCCCCCCCTCGGATTCTGGGACCCGCTCGGCCTCCTCGCCGACGCGGACCAGGAGCGGTTCGAGCGCCTCCGGTACGTGGAGGTGAAGCACGGGCGCATCGCTATGCTCGCCATCGCCGGTCACCTGACCCAGCAGAACGTCCGCCTCCCCGGCATGCTGTCGAACTCGGCGGACCTGTCGTTCGCGGACATGCCGAACGGCGTGGCCGCTCTGTCGAAGATCCCCCCGGCGGGCCTCGCGCAGATCTTCGCGTTCGTGGGCTTCCTTGAGCTGGCTGTGATGAAGAACGTGGAGGGCTCCTTCCCCGGAGACTTCACGAACGGCGGCAACCCGTTCGGGTCCTCGTGGGACGCGATGTCGGAGGAGACCCAGGCGTCGAAGCGCGCGATCGAGCTGAACAACGGGCGCGCGGCACAGATGGGCATCCTGGCTCTGATGGTGCACGAGGAGCTGAACAACAAGCCGTACGTGATCAACGACCTCCTCGGCGCGGGGTACACCTTCAACTAGATTACTAGCCCGTGCGTCGTTCAGACCTTTTGCACCGGTTTTGCTGAAGGGCGCGCTTTTGTGAGTAGCGGTGACGTGTTGTGGTTATGTTTTAATTTATTTTGTTTAGAATCTGCTATAGGGGAAGGGCTGATCTCTTCCTTTATAGACCGAGACCCGGATGATGTTGTGGATACGCGGCGTTTTGTGTTCATTTGGGCTCTTAGAAACGGAGTCATGTCGACGGATGTAGAAAATACCGGCCGTGTATTCCCGTAGGCGGTTCGTGCGGTGCACCTTCTAGCGTGAGGCGTGCGGCTACTGTTGGGAGGCGAGCGGGCTAGGAGATTGGGGCCCATGTTGTTAGTGTTTTGTGTCGACTGCGCCTGGTGTTGCGACGCTATGGCCTTGTGGATGGCGCCGGTAGATGCTGTTGCCTGTTTTGCTCTGGTTGGGTTTGTCGAGTAGTCGTGTCAGGCTTGACCATGATGCGTACACTCGAGAGGCGTGCTGCGTCGATCGTAGTTGTTCTCGCTTTGCACCTTTCGAACTGAACTAGTGTCTGTGAATGAGAACAAAGCTTTGAACCGATTACCCAAACAAGCTTGCATTGTGTTGTTGGTTGGCGTAGCGTGTCGATGATGATGGCGCTTCCATGTGTAGCATATCTCCTGCAGATGCACCAGCGCGTGAGGAGGATACGACTGAGAACAAACAAGAGTGCTTTGGATGTTTGATCCATGGGCTGTGCCCTGCCATTCATGAAATTACCGTTATGAAACAGCTTACTCGCATCACGAAGGATTTTCGCCTCTCCCCTCCCTCGCTGTGTCGGGAGGGCGAACACAAATAAATATGGAGCGGGTTGATTTGTGCCATATTTCGCACATGACATGATGTTGCGCCCGGCAAGGTCTAGATGCTTCGTATTGGCGACCTCGGTCCGAAGCCTAAGACGACAAGACGTACGCGCCGTTGACGTTGTGGACACATACATGCACCGGGTACGCTCCCTGCCGAGGCGCATCGTACACCCGTGATAGAATACCCTCGGTGGTGGAACTCCCATCATGAGGTGATTGTTTTCGTTTTTCACTCGAGGACAATTTCGCATGCTCCCTCCGTGACGTGTGCAGATCGAGCTCGCAGGTTTGTTACAAGAAAACTTGGGTATAAGAGAAAAAAGGCTCAAGTTTTGAAGTAAAGAGGAAAGGGCCAAGAAACATAGATAGCTCAATCTCGGCCAGAACATAAGAAACGCCCCAATGAGAAACATGGTGCGGTACCCCCATGGTATCAGCAATCTTCTGTGCTCCCACCCCCCTACCTAGGTGAACAGGAGTGGTGCAGTTTTCTGTCGTAGGGGGCAGCGCGGGTCTTCGCGAAAACAAATTGCGACACATAGATAGGCCGCCCCTCGCCGCCCCCCGGAGGGGGAAGTTCGAAAGATTTCCCACGAATCGTCGAAAGCTACCATGAGGTTAGATGGATTGCAAACATGCGTCGCTCTCGTTACCCCTTCCGCATCTGCTCGTCTGAAGCCGGTCCACCACTGAGTCACCCAGCCGTGCTACAGGAACACACGTACGGTAGCGCGAGAATCTAAAGCAAAAGTACAGTACATCGACGAACGCTCGATATGATGAGCGAAGCAGCTCACATACAACCACCATGCAACACAACGACCCCCATTGCAAACTGCTCGCCCTTGCCGCTTCTAGCACTGCACAACAGCGAACATTGTCTCGCAAATCTACTCGTGGCCTTAGCTTTGTAGAAATACGTTCGACTTGATCAATCTACCCCGCGTACTCGTGCGTACGCCTGTTCACGAGTTGTTGCGCGGTGTCTCGCTACGTTCTCTGGGAGGGAGAGCTTAAGGGTTAGGGTTAGGGTTGGGTTAGAGAGCCTGACGCCAAAGCGCCGACGCCTCGGCGAAAAGCCGGGAATACAGGGGTATTTGTCCCTGTTCCCCGCCCGGTGTTTGCCATCGGGATTGGGTTTTCGTCGCTTGGCAACGACGTTGTAAAACAAGCCAATTCACTTAGTGAACCGGGCAACCAGGATACCGTTTTTCTATACCTCTGTGATTTTTTTTGGCGGTAACAATAATGGTGGTCGAGTGGATCATGCTGTGCGGGGTGGACTATCCCCACTCCGCGCAAGGGGGATGATCGCACCACGTTGTGTTAAAATGGTCAAGCACCCTCGAGGCAGTTACACAGTGCTTACAACTGTTCCTGGAAGTGAAAGCACCAAAAAGTAAATTAAGTCATACGCAGCTGTCATCGTACGCAAGGAAGTAAGCACAAGATGCCGAACACCCTACCTAGGCAGGATGCAGCGCACCCTTCATGGGACTCGCCGAATACCTCACGGCGCTTCGCGCTTGGTGATGTGAGAGCCTGGTCCGGTGAGAACCCGGCGTGCTCCGTCCCGGCTT